ATTAGGTTAACCAGGCAGACCTTAAGATATTTCTTATGAAAAGCAAAAATCCTTTCTCTCCCTTCCCCAACTAAGCCAGTGTACCTTAATGCAATGATGATATGTTAGAGCCAGCAGTTGTCAAAGCAGCGTATTACAGCGACGCTGTAATGACACCCTGTCTCTGTAAAGTAGTCATGTTTTCTCAAATCACACGTTGCACAGTTGATTTCTGACATGACACTTCATTCGCTTGCTTTTCCCTTTCTTTGGCATCACCGTCCTCTGACAATAGCAGCTGGTGCCCATTTTGTTCCTAAGTGATTCACATTTTGCCACTTTTGAGTGCAATTATTTGAAGCAGCGAGAAAAACGCTCTTGTGGAGGAGCTGCTTGGAGCTGGAAGTCTCAGGCTGCAGCGGAGCTGCCGGGGTCCCAGGCTCGGGGGTCTGGGCCACGGGGAACTGCAACTTAGTGTTGGAGGTTCATTTCCTAAAGCATTAAAAGAAAGCAAAATAACCTAGTAAAAGTGTATTATTTTTTTTAACACAGTTACTTAAATATTTTATCTGGTGATTTCAGAAGGTAGAAGGCTAACCAATGCTCATAGATTCATTCCTAGTCTGAAGAGGTAAGTGATTAGGCGTGGAAACTGATTCCCTTTCTTTTTAGTCCTGAAATTCTGTAATTTAGTGAAGGGGCTAAGGACTCTCCCCCCCCTTCTCCCTCTCTCCCCCTTCTCTCCCCACCCCCTCTCTCTTCTTGTATTTAAAAACTTTCATAAAAAATTTGGATACAAATAAATAATGAGTTTGGAATTCAATGGTGGGTGGTGCTCTTAAGAAAATAAAATAGTGACTTGCTCAGTCGTCATTCACTGAGCCCATTAAGGTGTGTGTCACTGATTTAACTATAATAAAAGTTCCAAAAATCTTTTCCCTGTGTTACAGGCAGGAAAAGCAAAGAACACCTGTGTACATGTGTTTCTTATGAAAATTTTAGGCACCGTGTTTTTTTTTTTTTTTAAGTAGGAAACTAAAGTATCAAATAAACTGGAATTTGGTATGAAATTCAAAAGATGAAATTTAGCTGTTAAGACCCTATATTTTGATGAATGGGATAATAATATATAAACCAATGGAATATTATGGTTATCTCAGCATTTAACCATGAAGATATTGTCTACACTTAAGTCTCTCCTGGGGAGAAGTGGACAACCCCAGACACGAACACCCGTGGGTGGACGTTCACCGCAACTCACTCAAGATCACACATTTACCTGCATCTAGGTAGAATCCCGAAAACAATTAGACTGGCTTGATAATTATAATATAAATTGAATATTAACTTGTAGATTATATTGGACTCTTATTCTTTCTTCTCTGTGCATGGAAACATATATACAAAATTAATTAACTTTCAAAAATTGTATTTTTATGTAGTCCGGCAGGCAACCAAGAAGTTTTATTTGCCTGATCCTTAGTATCTAATACCAAATATAAAATTTACCTTAGCTACCCATAGGCAAGGCAAGGCAACAGGACCCTATGATGAAGCATGAAAATCAGAATTATTTGCAACATATCTCAAACCGCTGAAAATGCTTTTTTAAAGCACTGGAATTTCTCTGGTCTCAGGAAGGCTGTTACTAATCCCCTCCAATGTAGTTTCTTATATGGAAATGAACATTTTTTTGAGATAGTTCTTCCCCACCCCCCATTTGTTTTCAGGGTGGTCACTCAGAGAAGGTTTTTGGAAAATCACAACCTTGCTCCTTAGTGCTTCTCATCATTTCTCATAAAATAAAATAAAATAAAATCAACTACGCCGAGGCTTTAAAATAAATATTCCCCACAGTTTTCAGCATGTTATTTCTATTCGTAATTCTTAACTAAATTCAGATTTTTATTAATCCAATGTGACCGAAGATTTCTGCATTAAAAGCACAATGTGGACCTGGGCTTATTCTCTTTGGCTGCAGATAAAGCCATCATCTTGAAAATGGCTCTTTCTGACAAAAAGGTGTTCTTTTGAAATAAAGTCTTATTCACTACATTCCTCTTAGAGTTAATGTGAATTTTAGTGCCTCTAATTTTAGATTGAAGCGAAGTCTAGAATAAAACCCACCAGCTGACAATTGAATTTATAGATAGTTGTGAATATTTCAGGCTTGAATAATAGAGCTATAGAATTTCAGAGAGGGGGGGGGAGAGAATTAAGACCCACCGTAGTTTTAGGGTATAATGTAATGGTGTCTAGGAAGTGTTCAGGGTAATGAGCTACGTAGTCTTTAGGAGACCACTACATTCTTCCTGGGATTCTGCTCAGGTGGCACTTCCACATCGGAGAGGGGTCTCCATGGGGACAGCCCTCAGCTGCAGGGGTGGCCCCTTGGTCCCCTTTCTGCTCCTGGTTGAGCTGTGGATGAAAGGATCTCCACATGTGCCGCTGCACCCCTGCTTCCTGGGTCATTTACAGAAATCAGCGGACACCTTTGAAATGTCTCTCTTGGCGTCAAAATGTGCCTGCCCTAGACTTTGGAGTCAGACCTGAGTTCGAATTTCAGTTCCTCCAATTTCTAGCTATATGACTTTCAGGAAATTGCTGAGGCACTGTTTTCTAAAATGCAATATACCTCCTTTAAAGGTTGTCTTGAGGATTAAACCTGGCAGTATTTTGAAAAGTGCTCAGGTTAGTACCTGGCACCAAATAGGCACTTGATAAATGGCGACTCGTCTAGTCTTATGTTAATTGGGCAAAAGGTATTAATTAAGGGGGTTGTTCACGTCTGAAAAGAAACACGTGCAACTTAAAATAATTAAAACAATGTAATAAAAGCAGGTGCACTAAGGCTTTAAAATAAATCCACTGTGTTCACGTTCATTCACAGCTAAAGTGGCCAGACCTTGTGTAGGAGGAGATAGTGCCATTGTCCAAAGACTTCCCTGACATGTTGAACTTCCTGCATATCCTTGCATCCATCCAGGTCATTGCCAAGTTACAGACATTGTGGAGGGGATAGCTGGCTGGGGACTCCTAATCTTTTAGGCTCTCTAACAATGGGCTTTTGACACATACTCATGAAGGGGGACTTCAGACGTAACTGTTCTTATACAGGAAGGTCATATCTGGCCTCGATCCTTAAGCAAGTGTTCTGAAAGTTTTAGAAGTCAGTGAGTAAAAGTCTGGGAGAGAGAAAATTGGGGAAAGATTGACCCTAGAGGATACAAGAAGAGAGAGAAAGAAAAAAAGAGGCCGTGAAGAAAACATGGTACCTATTTTGTGACGAGGATGCCCAGAGCAGCTGTCCTCTGGGTGTGGCGGAAGGAATTCGGAAATGGTGCTGGTGGGCAGACACCGGAGAGTTCATTGTCATAGCCGTGAGAAATTCAGTGCCAGAGAGAGAGGAAGGGGGGACAACCATGTTTTAGTACCCTAATAACTTCCAACTCCAGTCTCAGATCATAATGTATGTGCGAGCGGTCCGGTAATTATAAGGTAATAAGTGAAGTGTGGTGGGTAAGTGCTCTAAATTAAAAGGGATTTGCAGGGCTGTTGTAAGTCAGTGCCGACCTGCTTTCTTTCAGACGTTGACTTGCAGAAAGTGCTTAGCCCTGAGTGCAGGCGGGGAAAGGGGGAGAGCGATCTATTAATTACAACACTCATTAATGGTGACGGGGACAAGCCACAGACGCAGGAGGACAGGGCACCCTCGTTCAGGCTGGCGAGGGGACGATGCTTTCTTTTGCTAGTTCTCATGGAGAGGACAACATAGGTGGGGGGGGGTCTTCAGGGGGCTTTCTCCCTCTGTCTCCTGGTGCTGCTAAATTGTAGACAGCAGAACACAATGTCCATGTGCAATACACTGGTTGAGAGGCAGATTCTTGCTCCTGACGTGGTCTCGGAACATTCCTGATGGGAAATTCCTTGATGTTCTTCATTTTAAAGTAACAGAACAGTGTGGGGAGGGAGACGTGCAGGGGAGCGTGAGATTGGTGCAATGGTAACAACATATCACTAGATTTGTAGTGAAAAAGAACATTGCACCCAATTGGCTTTACTGGGACGACTACCCCAAATTTGGGTGAGTGACCGAGACTCTTTGGGATTCCCATAAGTCACCTTTCCATTCCAAAGCAGTTATCCAGGTCCCTTTCTCAGCGGTCCCCTCTTCTTTCTGTGTTACGCTCTTAGACGGTTCCAGAGACTGTCTTAGAGACTGTGCTACAAAGGGTTTTGCACTGTGGCTAAGCGGAAGGATAGTAGGACCAAGTACACCTTTTCATCTAATTACCTTTTCAGAAACGGTATCCCTTAAGGGCCCCACCAAAAAAGATGGGCAGTAGAATTTTATATTGATGTCTCTCTACATTGCTCACTGTCTATGCAATAGAACCCTTTAAATAAGCAAAGGGATGCAGGCACTATTTCCTATGTGTCTCAGATCAATAAAAGACCCAGCGATGCTTATGGAAGCGTGCTGGCCAACAGTAATCTCAAAGCCAAACACGCATCTGCTCAGTCCTGAAAATAAAAGTTTGATCCTGCTCACAATGGAGTGATGGCAGAATCCGAAAGCGGAAAGGAAAAGGAGAGTGAAAACAAATATAATTTTAGACATAATGTGGACTTTGCCCGTCACTCCCGCTCCGTGGGTGAATTGAGAATCTAGAGGGTTGAGTTCAATATTGATGGTGGTTCTCCAAGGGGAAGGTAAAACAGAAAGGGTCTGACTCATTGGAGCTTTTGCTCATGGCCACTTTTATGTAACCCTGTCACGCCCGTATACCGATCACCTTCTTGTACAACAGGAGATATTGACTGGCCTGAGTGATGGCAGGCCGTATCTCAAAGGGCAGTGTCTTTAACATACAGAGTCTTGTCGTTTTTTTTTCTCATTTCCATCTTCCCTTTCACCGTCTCTATTTCATTTTACCTTCTCTTTGTTTCTGCCTCTTTTGACTGCTGTGTTTGACTCACTCTCCTCCTCTTTTTTCCCCCTGTCTCTCCCTGAATCGCAGGCTTCTCTGCAGAATGTCCAACAAAGATCGACACATTGATTCCAGCTGTTCGTCCTTCATCAAGACGGAACCCTCCAGCCCGGCCTCCCTGACGGACAGCGTCAACCACCACAGCCCCGGTGGCTCCTCGGACGCGAGTGGGAGCTACAGTTCAACCATGAATGGCCACCAGAATGGACTTGACTCGCCACCTCTCTACCCTTCTGCGCCGATCCTAGGAGGGAGTGGGCCTGTCAGGAAACTGTATGACGACTGCTCCAGCACCATAGTCGAAGACCCCCAGACCAAGTGCGAATACATGCTCAACTCGATGCCCAAGAGACTGTGCCTGGTGTGCGGCGACATCGCGTCTGGGTACCACTACGGGGTAGCGTCCTGCGAAGCCTGCAAGGCGTTCTTCAAGAGGACAATTCAAGGTGAGTGTGGGGCCTGGGAATCCCTTACCCTCGTCCAGCTCTACCTGATGGTGGTTTGGTGGGTGGGTTTCCTTGGTTCTCAACCCTGTGAGTCAAGGGGGACTGTGTTAATTCTATCTTGAGGTCAGAATAGAAATAGATGAAAATCAATAGTGGGGCACTTGAATAAACCACCGCAGGTCTGCCCCCATCCATTCTACTTTCACTGTTAAGCTCGAAGGATGAAAACGAAGGACCATGGCCATCCTCGGAGCGATGTAGGGCTGTAACACGACTGCACAGATGCACGTGGGCTTGCTAGTGCTTTGATCACTTCCGTTTTTCTTACAGATGTGTGGGAACAGTGCATACTTTAGACCCGTGGTCTAACAGTGCTTCTCAGCATGTCGTCCCCGGGTCACCTGGGGGTTTGGGAATTTGCTAGAAACGTGAACTCCCAGGTATCACCCCAGGTCACCTCCCTCAGACTCTCGGGGGGTAGGCCCAGCAGTCTGGGCTTGCCAAGCCCCTGGAGAGATTCCCACCCAAGTAGGGAAGCCCCCTCTCTCTTACCATGTTGCCACTGGTAACATGCCACCGACCATGGTCACCTCACAGTCTCTTGTCAGACACAGCTGACATTGGTTTTATGACTTTGTGGTGGGCCGGCTTTTACAGTATAAATAAGATTATGTTTGTGAAACTCTAACCCCTCTCCACATTTTATCCAAAGATGATTCTGAAGCCCTTCCTGGGCACATAGAGTAATCAGTCCCTTCTCCTTCCTTAAAGAGCTCTGGCAGGGCAGGTCTTCTCCATCAGTCGTTATGGGTGTTCTGGTGACTGTCCTCAGTGGAATGGGTTGTGCCAACTCCTGCTTTCTTGGATGGGTTCTTTTACACCGCTTCCTGGACCTGTGGCTCATAAATGCACCATTAAAGTGGTTACTTAGGGCAAATGGATTTTGAAGACATCACAATACATATATAATAGAATGCATATTTAAATCTAACCTTTTCATTGTCTTCCATAGTTATATTTCAATATTTTCTGGATCATTATCGCTCTATTTTATTAGCACTTTCTTGTAAAAATCCTTCTTGTATTTACTCTCATCTATAAGTCGAAGGCATTGCTACCTACCTCATGTAATGCTTAAGGATAAAAGATGTATAAAATCACATGTAAGTAAAAACAGCAAGGCCTAAATGCAGAGCTTCCCCTCACTTTGGGGCATTGGAAAAAAACTCTTCAGCCTGTTTACAAAGTTGCAAAACTTGGTTGGGAATGAAATGGCTGGTTTTCACCAGCCATTGTCAACAGTATTGGAATAATGAAGTTACAGAGTATCTACAATTTAAATTGTTAGTAATTCCATTTTGTTGACTCAGTTTGCATAGCTCTGGGGCTCTCTACACAAGGATAAGCAAATATTTGGGGATAAATTAACAAATACTGTGTGTACCAACATATAAAGAAGGTTCTTGTACTTACAACACTCCTGTTTCCTCAACAAATGTTTTCTGAGACTCTACTAGAAGCCAGACAGCTTGCTGGCTGGAGTTCTATGTTTTACTACATTTTGTCATGTATAAGACACACTTTTAGCCCAAGTTTTTGATGGAAAAATAAGGATGCACATTATACCTGGGTATAATGGTTACATGCCTGACATACCCAAAAATGTGGGTACACATTATACACAGCAAAATACATTTTATTAAAGCTTTGTTTCCTAATATTTGTGGATGGAGGTTACTTCCTCACACAAATGTCTCCTTGCCTTGAGGGAAAGCCAGATAATTTTGGGGTGCGGGTGGTGGATTAAACTCTTCGGACCTCAATATGTTTTGTAAAGATAGGACAAGTATTTATAAAAAAATTCCTGAGAGTGTTTTAAGCAAGTCATCTGGTATAGATATTAATAGCTATGCAGTAGTTACTTAACGAACAATCACTGGAACCAAACAGTTGGAATTCTGTGCTTGGTTATTCCTGCAGATGCTGAAATGCTACCAAAAGCTTAGCAGGGCAGAGCGCAGGGTGATTCTTGGCATTGATGTATATGCTGCGCTCTGCTCTGCACTGGAGAGGGCACCTTTCACGGGTGTGGAGCCGGAGACAGAGATGTCACTGTCCAGATTAGCACTCTGGACTGGCCCCCCTGGCCGTGCTTGTAGCTGGCAGCTGGGTGGCACTCGGTGCGGCCACGCGGCTAGGGCACCAGCAGGCAGCCCACCACGGTGCTTACTTAGCCCCAAAAAAGCAGTGAGGCAAAAAAAGGGATTAAATGGTGAAAGTATAATGTAATAATTAGGGTGTTAATTATAAGGGAGATTGGAACAGCCCCTCCTTTCTGTGGCCAAATGGTGATAGCAATTGGGCTCCAAAGATGGTCAAAGTGACCGAACCGGTTGTTGTTAATCATCTCGGATTCTTATCCAGATTCTGAAAGGGCCATAGAGCCCATTCTCCAGCCTTCAGGCAGCACTGCAGCCAGACTATGTTTGACAGATCATAGCGTCTCCATTCCCCCTTCAAAGCTCTGCAGAGGAAGGGACAGGATTATGCAACTTGCCTCTAAGACCCTGTCTCTCCACCGTCTCGCAGCCCAGCATGTTACACAAGTGGGGGTTCGGCTCTCATCGACTTGGGGAAGGACATGTGCACCCAAAGGCGTGTTTCTTCTTATAATAATTTATTTCTAACGTGGGTTATACAAGATGTAGCACATACAAATTTTAAAAGTTGGGGGAAATGCTTCTTACGTTTAGAGCCAAAAGAACATACATCCAGAGTCACACCTTGAGAAAAGTAATGAGAATTTTTCTTTCCAAAGCTGAAAGTGATATTCCAGTGGTGAAAGGCAATTAATCATAGATTCCAGTGAAAGTCAACCGGAAGGTGTATTTTATTTACTGACTGCTTTCAAGTTGCCATTGGAAGGCTATTGAATTAGGTCAGCACCGAGCTAGGTAAAAATCAAGATTTTTGTTTGTTTGTTTGTTTGTTTTTCTGTTGGCCAAATTTTTTTTAGATGACTTTGACAGTTCTAGCCTATGATCCAGCAGTGTTCCAAAGGAAGCAATGACTTCAAGGTCATTTTCTAGGCTTATGAATTTATTCTGACTTTTTTTCTGAATTCTAATTTTGGCCTCAATTCATAAATAGTGGGCATTATTGTAATTATTATTTTTGGATATTCTGAAACTTTCCTTCGACCTTTGTTAAGGAGGCAGGAGAAGAAAAAATGCCTTTATACCTAAGAAAGTCAATACACATTTTATTATTTATGTATATTTGTATGGTTGATATATCAACTGATCATTCTAGTGCTGGAGATAAGGCCTTCTATTTTTTCCACTTTTAAACAGAGGGTATTATATATCCTTAAAAATATGTTTTTTTAGACATTTATTATATCACAGGTTTGGATTCCTATGAAACCAGGTCCCCAAGTCCCAACCACTCACCAGCCCAGAAACCTGAACTTCATGAGCCTCCCTTTCCTGGGGTGGGAAGGGTTAAAATGAGGCACCGCCCAGTTGCCCCACCCATGGCGAGCGCTGCATCTGTGATCAACTTTGGTTGATTTTGGTGGTCAGTCTCTAGCTGATAGTCAGCCCATGTCTTCTCCCCACTCTACCTCCTGCCCTGTCTTGTACCTAGAGTGGACACTCCTGCCCATGTGTCCAAGGCCCACCGACCCCTCCAAACAGCTGCCCCTTGAGTATGCACTGGCCTTAGGTCGTGCACACCAGCCTGGAGTCCCGTCCAGGATCCTTACAGAGAATAGACCTTTAGAAGGGTCCTGCAATGGGGCATATTGCAATTTGGGAGGGTTCTGGAAATGCAAGAGTTTCAGGTACTCAGGAGTATGGGGTTCAAGGGGGTTGACTCCTGCTGGGCTTGTCCCCTTAGCCTGTTGATGGCTTTCTTGTACCGGAGATGCTTTCTAAAGCCCAGGACCTTCAGAGCTTAAAGGGGGCACTGATAAGAGCCTAAACATAGGCTGTCAACACAGGGTAGTAAAGGTTAGGCATTTGCCTACAAGTCTCATGCTTAAGGCTGGGGCATCGCCTGTGAGTTTGATCTGCTGACTTCTTCTCCACCCTGAATGGCAGGCCCTCCCCTGAAATAGGGCGGGCAGTCCTAGAGAACCTTTCCTGGATGTTGCATTTTCTTGGCCATCATGTGCTATTTTGGTCACAAAAATAGAATGCTTGCAGCCCAGAAGGAAATAGGTACTTACAAATTGTCTGTTACATCATAGGAACCTTCCAAAGAAGCATCATAAATTAACTTCTATTTAACTTAGTGTTTAGAGAAAGTAATTACCCTGGTTTGTAAATGGGAGCTTTAAATCTCTAATATGTTCTAAAATTAAAACGAAAATAATATGGAAATGTCTAAATTGACTTGAGGAATCTCAGTGATTTATAAGTGTAGATGCAATATTCAATTAAATAGTGCGATCATATTTTCAAAAGAAATATTGTCTAGAATTCATTTGCTCTAACTCAGAGCTTGCTTTTGTTGTAAGTTTGACTTTTTGTTTTCTTTCCTTGCATTTCATGCCAATTATGTCTAGTTTTTTGAGATGCATTAATGTTGCCAAATTATCGATGGGAAATATTAGTCTACTCCTGCTATTTTAGTAGTTATTTTCTGTGTTTATTTCAACAGTAAAATCTACTATTGCAGACTTTCCATGTGGGTAGAGAATATGTATTATGTGAATGGGTGTCTTAGGAAGTAGTGTAATTTATGGTTTTATTTCTCTTGGTTTTAACTCAGCAGACCCACTTCCTGGAATACATTGAGTTTTCCACAGTCTGTTCTGACTTTTAGGAATTGACCTAAATTGTCATCCCTACTGACCTTGTTTTAGAGTTACTGGTCAGCTGTCCTTTTCTATAAAAGGGACACATAGAGACTTGATAGTAAATATCTTAGGGTCTGTTGGTCACATACCTTCTCTGTCACTTAACTCTGTTCAATTTTATTTCTAAAGCCGTTTA